GTGAGGCAAAGGTTAAAGAAGGTATTTTTGTTGGGCCACAGATTCGAAATATTTTGAAAGATGCACGGTTTGAAAACACTTTAACAGGTATTGAAAAAACTGCTTGGAATGATTTCCGTCTGGTGGTCACTAATTTCTTGGGAAATAGAAAAGCTGACAACTATAAAACCCTTGTCAAAAATATGCTGTCATCGTATCAAAAGATGGGCTGTAATATGTCTCTTAAGATACATTTCCTACACTCACACCTGGACTTTTTTCCTAACAATTGCGGAGCCGTAAGTGATGAGCACGGCGAACGTTTTCATCAGGATATTTCAACAATGGAAAAAAGGTACCAGGGAAAGTGGAATCCTTCCATGCTTGCAGACTACTGTTGGACTCTTGGTAGAGATGCTCCAGAAACGATCCATAAAAGAACAGCAAAAAGACAGCGCACATAGTGATTCTTATAAGTATATGAATCTTGTTACTTTTTTTAATATATCCTTAAAAATAAAAAGTTTTTTTTCTAAACCGCAAGTAATTTTTTTATTTCATTGTCATTTTTGGATTCAGCGCCCCAAAATTAACAAAGAAGTGCACTTTTCCCACAAGATACAATTAAAAAACTAAAATTTGTTGTCCAGTGTAAACTGCAATTTATTCCGAATCAATAACGAATTGAAATAATCAGGCGGCTAAAAGATGACGCACATGTCGCACTATGCATGTGGCTCTGAGGCGAGGATCCGCCACTGGGAATAGGCCGAAAGAATTGTTACGGCAAGCGGGTCGGTTTATTTCGTTGGTCACTGACTGACATGCTTGACACATCTAACCACCCATGCACAAATTTTGTACTTAAATAATATATTAATTTACGACCTGATGTGAGGGGAGGATCCACCGTCCTGAAAATAGCGCGTGTTATAGTCAACAAGACAGAAGGGACAAATTATCTAGTACATGAGCACCGCTTAGGGGATGGGGGGTAGTCAATCTTCCTTGAAATATCCAAGAAATGTTGAACAGCTATGAAACTTAGGAAGGTACTTCTTAGCCCTAAACAAATAGCCTAGTTTTTCCTAGCAACTGCCGCTACTGACGAAATATGTTTGTGCCAGATCAAGTCTTCGGTGATCTAGACTCCGACCAGCCGAAATGAACTGCTCTTTGGTACAACTTGGCCGTCCATCGAAACCTGATGCGTTGAGCGCATCTTGTTAATCAAGCTACAGCAGTTTGATTTAGAAGCATTAAACTATACCAGATTTGTTGCAACCCCAAGCAGTAATAACCTCCAGGTTTCTCGTCAGAGAGAAAGCCGCTGCAAGTCTTCCTTTCTCCAGCTCACCGGCAGAAATCGGCTTGTCACTCCGAATTCCTGCATGCAGAGTAACTGTCATCAGCAAAGCTGTGGATCGGATTGATTGTACAGGAAAGAAGGTCGTTGATGTGTAAGAAGAACGATATCTGAGCCATGACAGGCTCTGTTGTATTACATGCTCTACATACAGAGCATATTTTAATGAAAGCCATCCAAGACTTTGGAATAAGGTATTCTATTTTCAAATTTTTGAGGATTTTGCTTACACCTTTTGCTGGAGGAAAATTGTGAGCAGAACTGTTTCAAAGTCCAAAATCTTTGAAACAGAACTAGCTTATGCCCTATATCTGGCAAAGAGTTATATCAGTACTGTTTGTGTTTTATTTGAGAAAAAAAAACGCAAAACAGGTTGACATACAGTGCTTTCAGAAAAGCCCCTTCTTGTTTTAGCAAAATGAAATGTGAAGTGATAAAGTTGCTGCATGGATACTGTATGTAATTTACCGTAATATTCGCAGTTCAGCATTCCCATCTTGTATCATCACTGATGAGTACTCTTCAGCTCTAGAATATAAAATCACTATCTTTCAAAATGACGAACAGGTGGGCTGTAAACATCAGCGTTTTAGTACATTGAGTCGCTTTCAGTCTATCCTAAGGTTATGGAGTACCACAGCCGCATAAAACTAGTAGACATAGGTGGCTATGGAAGTACTCTTAAGGAGCTTCAAAGTGATCTGTCACGTGACCTCCAAAAAATGTTCTAAGATAGCGTCCAGCTGCCATTTTGAAATTTTCATCTGCCGCTTTTACGCTAAAATATAGTATTTATGTCTCAATTTCAAAGCAAGGGAGGAGCTTTTTGAAAATTACAGTATCTGCTTTAATAGTTTCTACACTAATTTGTTTGCTTGGACACATGCATTTTCGTTCTTAATAAAAACGCGAAATCGCCAAAAATGGTTTTGGGCTAGTTCTGATTCAAACCGAAGAATTTCTCTATCAATTTATTTGAAAATGATGTATGCAGATAAATGGATCGTACGGTAAATAATTCGTTAATTTTTCCACTCAACACCGATACTTTTTCTATCGAGAACATCACTGGTCTCAATTTATTTTTCTTTACAGTGTTAGTTATTTTAGGCTACATATTCAAATTGATCATATTTCAGCGAATATGCGCTTATATTTTCTGGACACTCATCAAAACCGTATGTTCAGGAAGTGTGTACATACAATGTAACAGTCTTGGTTTAGTTTATACAGTACTTTTCAAAAAGGTTCTCCCTATTTATTTTTTTTAACGGGCTAAATGTTATCAAGCAAAAATTTGGCCTAATGAAATTGATACATTAATATACTAAGTGACATATAAATCCGAGTAAGTAAATGATAAAAATTTCAAAATGATTGCACTGCTTTAAAGACCTTTGACCTATATATAATAATGTGTGGATGCACCCTGATGTGCTACGCATTCTCCAACGCGCCTAGGCATGCTTCTGATCAGGTGATCAATGTCCTACTGTGGTATCTCATTCCAGGCAACCACTAACTCCTCTCGAAGTGCTTCTAGAGTCTGAGGAGGACGTTGCAAATTGAGCAATCTCCTACCCGTCATATCCCACACGTGCTCAATTGGGGATAAGTCGGGATATCTTGGTGGCCATGCTAACAATGTAACATCATTATGTTGAAAGAAGTCTATTGTGACTCTTGCAACATGTGGTCGGGCATTATCTTGTTGGAAAGTTGGATCTGCCAGGGTGTCAAGATAGGGTAAAAGATGGGGTTCTAGAACTTCGTGGATATAACGCTGCGCGTTCATGTTACCTCTGATGAAGATTAAAGGTGACCTGGAACCATAAGCTATAGCACCCCAAACCATAACTCCAACAGTGTGATGAACATGTCTTTCAACAAGAAACTGTGGATTCCTCCTTTCACCACGTCGCCTTCTAACCCTGGCACGACCATCGTTCATGCCTAAACAAAATCGAGACTCGTCACTAAAGACAATACTGTTCCATTCCTGATCCCAGAGTGCACCACTCAAGGCGATTACGTCGGTATTCTCGAGTTAAAGGGAGGACCCAGTGTGGCCGGTATGAAAACAAGCCAAAACTTCTCATTCATCAGTAAACACTTCGCATGCGAATATGTCTTCCGTGTTCTGCAAACCATTCATTTGCAATGGACCTGGTAGTGGAGAAACGGTCCCTTAAGGCCAATAATCTTAGGCGGCGATCTTCACGGTCTGTTGTTCTACGGCGGCGTCCAGTGCCTCTTGCTCTTTGCGTACGGCCTTCTCGAAGCCATTCCTGACAACACCTAACCACAGTGTCTACACTCCTTTGCACTCTAACTGCAATTGCCCGAAAAGAAAGTCCAGCTTCCCGAAGTCCCACTATACGGCCCCTATCAAACTCACTAAGTTGACGAAATCGTACAGATCTCCGTACTCTAGGCATCGTAACCGATCGTAAAGGATGTCAAGAACCAAAATCCGCCAACGTCGATTCTTTACTGCGGCTGAAATATTCATTTTAAGAGCGTTAGTGAATTAAACAAAAGCAGTATAAAAACCGGAATGTCCAACTGATAAGGCTGAACATTTTTTCACTTGTTATTTACAGTAAGAAAAACACATTCACCAACTTTTATTAAAATAAAACCATTTAAACTGGGTGTTCGGATTTATATGTCACTTAGCATATAATAGTATATTTTAGCGTAAAAGTGAAAATTTCAAGTTGGCAGTTGGGCACCATTTTGGAATATTTTTTAAATGGAATGAAGCTCCTCATGAATGCTGCAATCCTGGATTATAAAGTCTTTATCTTTTACAATGGTGAACTATAGGCTGTCAAGGTTTAGATTTTTTGTATATCAATCCAATCATATCATCTTTTAAAAAAGATTGTCAAAGTGAGTCATTTTTTCAGCTGAATATCCAATACTTCATTGTGTACAAAACGCTCAACTTCAACCGCTTGCCAGTCTGCCATTTTGAAAAACACTGATTCTATATTCTAGAGCTCAGCTGTCATCTGAAAAGTTTCAACCCTTTCAACATGTTCACGTTAAAATACAGTATTTATGCGTCAAGCTAATCCCTCCGAGTGTCACCTTGATGACATGACCCGCTCAAAAAATAAGTAGTGGGGGGTCTATGAGAAAGCACTTTATATAGAAGACATTAACTCCGCTCACAAGATTTCGCTCTAAATACTGGAATTTTTGAATTTTGTTAACATATTAGGAAAGAGCATATAAACTTCTTCCAAACGATCCGCTTTTGTTAATGAGCAGATGATTTTGTATGAGTTGGTGATGTCGATTTTGTTCATTTTTAATAAACTACTACTTCTAAAAAATATCGCCTCGTTTTTTTTCTTCGGAAAGTTTTTACATGTTGCTATACTTAAGCATGTGCTTTCGATAATTTGCGCTAAAACAACTGATTAAATATTTATCTACTTGCGTAACATTTTATGGAATACGGCACTGGTCTAAGGATATAGTCTCCAAAAACATTTGTTGACACAATGCGGTACTTATATTTTGAATTCCCAATTTCTACCAGCGCTTCTATTAATGTGCCTCACTCCTCATCTTACTCCCTTTTATCCGCCCCTGATGATTTTCTCGAACGTGAGCGCAATTATCAAGAGTGTTCTCTTTCCAGATTCGTTCACTTTTCCTCAATCCATCGACAAAGAGCAACTGATGAAGTAGTCTACGGTTTCTACTTGCTAATGTCAAATATGAAGTGAAATGATGGAAACATGAGCCTTCTTATCCAAATCCTGGTCACCGTTGCTTTCTTGATTGGCGTTCTGGGGAATGTCACAGCACTCTGGATCCTCTACAAGACTGCCAATAGAAGAAATAAGAAGCATCTGTTTCTGCTACGGTGTTTAGCTGTCAACGATCTCATAGCCCAGATTGGAATGCTGCATTTCATCTATTTGGGCAAGTATCAAGGGATTCCGAAGTATTGGAACTGTGTCGGATTCGTACTCATCAGGGCCTTTGGATTGGGATCAGGATGCGTGGCGTTTGTGATGGCTTTTGAGAGGTGGTTAGCTCTTACTAGACCATTCCTATATCATCAGGTATGTATTTTCAACAAAAATGTTGTATCTAATAGCAATAGTAACAAAATTTCATCACCAAAAAATTAGCAAGATTATGTGTTTTCAAACAATTACTATTACTATTTATTATATTTTCACTTAAACACTAACTGAATCGAAAAGATTCATAGTACTTTTTTCTAATTCTCTTGACAATTCTATTGAATCTCAATATCTCATGCTGTTTTTCTGGTTCATGTCTCTACAACATGCAGCAGTAGTCTGCGATCTTGCTCTCGTCTCACTCTCCTTGGTATTTGCTCTCCATAAACTTGGAAATGTAACGTCTTTAATATTAGTCAAAGACGTTCTATCATTATGTAGCTTCTGCTACCGGATATCCGATCTATAATTCGAAATAACTTGGCAATCAATCGATGGAGTTGCGTGCATGGCATAATGCTGCATTGTCTTTTCAATGGGTAACAACTCCAGCTGGTCTGCGGTGGTGTCGTCACTGACACACCGCTACAGGGGAAAAATAATAGATTTTAGCAATATTTGGATATTAGGAGTACGTACCACTTTAGCGTTCTACGATGCTTTGGAAATGATAACTGTGTTTATATCTACACATATATTTTTTTGAAATTTATTATCCTTAAATGTACCACCCATTTTGCCAACCCTTTAATTTGTGTGTGTATTTATGACGCATTGATATACAATAGATACGGACTGACAAACCGACATAAATGAGAAACTCGGAGTCGCGAGTTTAATACGTCCATCGTTTAGGCCGTCGTAGATTTTGAAAATTTATCCAGAGGCGACTTAAATAAAATCGCTGGAACATAGTGTTACAAAGTTTTAGACATTCCTGCTCATTTTCAGAAATTGTTTGGAGGGAACGAAAATTGTAAGTTGCAAGCTGTATGCGATAAATCGTTGTAAAGTGTATCATATTTAGTGTCAGTGAAAGACCTTCTATTATTAAGGAGATGCAGAAGATCTCAGTGATACTATGCATCTGTTAGACATAATAAGCAACACATAATTTCCCTACATATGCCATGAAAACAGAAATATGATAGATGTTCTTTATATAGTTTGATATGCAGAGGTCATCGTACCTACCCAATTACGATTCGATTTCGCCTTTTCAAACGATTTGACTCATCTCTTTTCTTTGAAACCAATGAAGGCGTAGGGAGTATAGAGTCAATCTACTTGACGCCATTTTTAATGTCTCTTACTAGACCATTCCTATATCATCAGGTATGTATTTTCAACAAAAATGTTGTATCTAATAGCAATAGTAACAAAATTTCATCAACAAAAAATTAGCAAGATTATGTGTTTTCAAACAATTACTATTACTATTTATTATATTTTCACTTAAAAACTAACTGAATTGAAAAGATTCATAGTACTTTTTTCTAATTCTCTTGACAATTCTGTTGAATCTCAATATCTCATGCTGTTTTTCTGGTTCATGTCTTTACAACATCCAGCAGTAGTCTGCGATCATGCTCTCGTCTCACTCTCCTTGGTATTTACTCTCCATAAACTTGGAAATGTAACGTCTTTAATATAAGTCGAAGACGTACTATCATTATGTAGCTTCTGCTACCGGATATCTGATGTATAATTCGAAATAACTTGGCAATCAATCGATGGAGTTGCGTGCATGGCATAATGCTGCATTGTCTTTTCAATGGGTAGCAACTCCAGCTGGTCTGCGGTGGTGTCGTCACTGACACACCGCTACAGGGGAAAAATAATAGATTTTAGCAATATTTGGATATTAGGAGTACGTACCACTTTAGCGTTCTACGATGCTTTGGAAATGATAACTGTTTTTATATCTACACATATATTTTTCTGAAATTTATTATCCTTAAATGTACCACCCATTTTGCCAAACCTTTAATTTGTGTGTGTATTTATGACGCATTGATGTACAATAGATACGGACTGACAAACCGACATAAATGAGAAACTCGGACTCGCGAGTTTAATACGTTTAGGCCGTCGTAGATTTTGAAAATTTATCCAGAGGCGACTTAAATAAAATCGCTGGAACATAGTGTTACAACGTTTTAGACATTCCTGCTCATTTTCAGAAATTGTTTGGAGGGAACGAAAATTGTAAGTTGCAAGCTGTATGCGATAAATCGTTGTAAAGTGTATCATATTTAGTGTCAGTGAAAGACCTTCTATTATTAAGAAGATGCAGAAGATCTCAGTGATACCATGTACCTAATAGACATAATAAGCAACACATAATTTCCCTACATATGCCATGAAAACAGAAATATGATAGATGTTCTTTATATAGTTTGATATGCAGAGGTCATCGTTCCTACCCAATTACGATTCGATTTCGCCATTTCAAACGATTTGACTCATCCCTTTTCTTTGAAACCAATGAAGGCGTAGGGAGTATAGAGTCAATCTACTCGACGCCATTTTTTAATGTCGACTAACAATATTAAAACGATTTTGCCCCACTCCCCCTTCAACCGTGGATATCTTAGCCTTGGTACTAGGTTCACGAGAACATTTATGACTATTAAGCTTATAGTTATTACCCTTTAACTTTCTAGCTTTTGGGCGAGATAAATGTTTAGATATATTGTCACTGTCACTTTTATGAACTGGACTGGGAAGTGAAAAATCTGTAAAGGAATTTAACTTAACAACCGAAGTTCACTGTAACGATACTTAGTATTCCCTAGTTGTGGAAGCAAAGTGCAAAAGGACTGAAGATTAAGCGAATCACGTACACCTCTACATGAAAATTGATTTATGGGACTGGAAAATTAATTTGGAATTAAACAATCACGTCTGCCAGAAAGAAAATTCAAAGTGACATACGAATTATACTTAGAGACGTATTTAAGATATTTGCCGGCTATAACGTATCATAATACTATTATTATTGAACCCTTTCCTCTCCCTAAGCCGTTACGAGATTATGTCAATAATAAAGATCACCAAAGACGAATATTATAAAATGAAGCTAGATATAACAGCGTGGAACAAAATTCCCGGAACGATTTTTTCGCTAAGGTACTTTTGGAAAATATCAAGGTCAGGTTCTCAGAAACTTTTAGCAATGAATTCAATGGTGACCTTGAATTTGACCTTGATCTTCACCTTTATGGTCAACTTTGTTTTTTCGAATAGAAAGCGTCTATTTTTGATGCCTGCAATCGAAAGAACAGACATTTTTACGTTGAGACACAATTAAATTCCAAGGTCAACTAATGGTCAAATGAACATCAAATGTGTGCTGCTAGAAAAACCTCTATATATCCCACAGGATTAGTGACGAAAATAACTATCAAGGTCAGGTCTGTAGTATAATTTTGACGAGTCATCTTGGTTTTGACCTTGAACTTCACCTTCAAGGCTATTTTTTCATATAGAAACCCGCAGGAACAGTATCGGTTAAAAATCATATGTAACAAGCACCGTAAATCCCTCGTTAAAACTTACCTAAAGATCTGAGCTTGCCAATTATTTTCGGCACTATTCGTGTGAGATTTCTAGAAGTTTTTCTAGCAGAACACATTTGGCCTTTATGTGACCTCTACTGGTCACCTTGACCTTGAATTCTAATACACATTTGAGTACAAAAATGTTGGCCCTTTGGATTGTCGGAATCAAATAGGCGTTCCTATTTGGGAAAAAAGAGTTGATCTTGAAATGACCGTAAAGATGAGGTTCAAGGTCCAATCCAAGATCACCGCTACTTGTGAAAATTTACTAAATACCTGACCTTACCAGTTATTTTCGTCTCGATCTCTGCGAGATTTCTAGAGGTCCTCCTAGCAGCACGTATTTGACTTTCAGCAGTCATCTTTATCTTGAATTTTATAATAAATAGGGGTTTCCATTAAAAAATTAAATTGTTTTCGGGTAAGTTTTAATGAGGCAACTACGGTGCTAGTTACAAATGATTTTTACCGATACTGTTCTTACGGGCTTCTATTTGAAAAAATGACCTTGAAGGTGAGGTACATGGTAAAATCCAAGATCACTTGTCAAAATTTAATAAAGAACTGACCTTGCTGGTTATTTCACTAATCCTGTCAGATTCATAGTGGTTTTCCTATCAGCACACATTTGACTTCCATTTGACCTTTAGTGGTCACCATGACCTTGGTCTTCAATTCGTATTTAAACGTAAAATTTTACGCTCTTTCGATTGCAGTCATCAAAAATAGGGATTGCAATTGAAAAATATGAGTTGCCCTTGAAATGATCCTCAAGGTGAGGATCAAGGTCAAATCCAAGATCACCGTTCACCTCCTCGTTAAAATTTGCCAAAGCCTTGATAGTCGTTTTCATCATTAATTTTGTGATATTTATAGAGGTTTTCCTAGCAGCACACATTTGACCTTTAGATGGCACTCTGACCTTGGACGTCAATTCATATTCGATTGCCGGCAGCAAGGTCAGCGTTAACTTCCTCGTTGAAAGTTACTAAAGACCTGAGCTTGATAGTCATTTTCATCACTCATCTTGATAGATTCATAGAGGTTTTCCTAGTAGCACACATTTGATCTTCATTTGACCTTTAATAGTCATCTTGATCTTGGACTTTAATTGTGCTTGAATGCAAAACTTTCTGTTCTTTCGATTCCCGGCATCAAAAATAGGGGTTCCTATTTGGTAAAATAGATTGGACCATAAATTAACCTTATAGGTGGAAGTCAAAGTCAAATTCAAGATCGCCGTTGAAGACCTGACCTTGACATTTGTCAAAAATACCTTACCCGTTCCGGGACTTTTGTGTCACGCTGTAATTATTTATGAATGTTTGCGAAATAATTGCATTTTCCATTTTGATGAGGTTTGGCAACAGCTTGACCACTGTGTAAGTGTGTGTCGGTGCGCGGGGTGCCAAGGAAGGGGGATAGCAGGACCTTGAGCATGAGATCGCGGGGACGGGCATGCGCTTTATTCAGCAGAAGCAGCTCGTATATCGTCGCTCAGCGCTTCCGATGTACGAATTTTGTTTGTAAGGAATATTTTATTTTTCGAACTAGCAAATCGTCGTTGGTTTGTCGTTGTAACAATTTTTCCACATCAGAACTTCCTGATATATAAGAGTGTCATGATAGTGTGAATAGTAGAAAAACCATTTTTTTAAATTTAAAAGAGTTTTTATATCAAACTACTTCTGAATTCATAGGAGTCTTCGTCAAAACAACAAAGACATGATGTGATAACGCCGTGTTCCTACTCATTACCCTGGGTCAGCTTAGCTCGCGAGCTATTTCAGTTTCTAGAGTTGATGCTGGAGTTCCCTAACGATTATTTTCCAAAGTAATTCCACCACAAAATCGGTCAAAAAGGTTGCATAACCAATTTAAAAAAGGTTGTATTCACTTCCAAACGTTTGCCTTTTTCCCAAAGTGGGAAAAAGTAATTTAGAAGTCAATATTAGGTCGATGAGGTATTTATCACTAATAGGATATAAACAACTACTTAGGTCATCTTGTGATAAAAACCCAGTGAACATGATGACGTTAAAATGACGTCATTATTCTGTCACTTTTGGTCGGAAACGACATTGACTAAAAAATGACGCAATTTTTATGACGGCAACAAGATGTCCTTTAAACGGCTGTCATTTTGACGTCTTTTTTCAATAATGGAAAATCAAGACTTACCTACAAAGAAGTATAGACTTCAAATGAAAAGTAAGGTAAGCTAGATATCCAAATACTAATAACTCCTATATTGTTATTTATAAAAAAAATATCAGGAATTCTTCGACCAAAAATATATTGTAAATATGACTTTTCTAATAATAATATTCCATGTTCAGATAGTTCAAATTGCCATTTTACATCATGTTTTATTCCCGTGAATAACAAATTTATCAGAAACCCCTCTGTATAACAATAAACAAGTTTCACTAGAATAGGAGGGCTGCCTGATTGATGATTCTTCTCTAAAAGACAGTCTCGGGACCCTTTCGCACCGGCGGGCCGTCGGCGATCTAGCTCTTTTCTACCGCTACACCAACGGGCTTGGCTCCTCAGATCTCTCCTCCATGATGCCGCCGCGCGATGTGCCCGCCAGACAGACCCGCCTGACTTCGGCCTCCCATCCTAATCTTCGTACATCCAGAACTGGCCGATACAACCGCCCCTTTGCCCCTATAATCTACAAGAGCGGTTGCTTCTATGTAAAAAATCTCACTGCTAAATTGTCCCGGTTTTCCCCTAGTTAATATGACCTTTGCTAACCTTTATTGACTTCCATTTAATATACTATATTTTGATTGCAACTTTTGTTCTAGATAATTACATATCAAGTCTTGAAGAGGTTTCTGTGCGGATTATGGCTTACAGCAGTTATCCTCACATATCTACCCCTATTTGGATTTGGTTTATACTATAACAAAGAAAAGGATAAGTGCGACAGATTCAGATATGCAGTGGATGTCAAGGACAAGATATACGCATATCTATTCTTCGCTTTTGGTAAGGTTCTGTCCCATACAAAGTGATGTGAAATTTTGGAAAATAATGTGTTAGCATGTAGGGTTTCAATCAAAGGAGTAAAAAGTAAAAACCAACAAATATCTCAGACTTGTGATCAAGAGATCAAGTAGTACAATTTATTTATTGACGATGATTTTGGAGTAAAGCGAAACGCGTTACTATTTCTGAGTTTCACTGTAGAGCTTTATGCAATAAATTCGATCATATGGAAGAGTTTGACCAAGAACATATCAATAATAACATATACAATATCTCGAACACCGAAAAGCACTTGACTACTCTGAAGGGTTAAATCAGATGAGGACGAAAAACTTTCATGGTTTTCAAGCACAAGTCTAGGGATGGCAAAATTTCAAAGACTAATAAAATCATTTCCTCATATAGGGTTTTACAGAATTTTGTCAGGAGAATTCAGGACGATAAAAACATAAATATGCTAAGTGACATATAAATCCGAACACCCAGTTTAAATGGTTTTATTTTAATAAAAGTTGGTGAATGTATTTATCTTACTGTAAATAACAAGTGAAAAAATTTTCAGCCTTATCAGTTGGACATTCCGGTTTTTATACTGCTTTTTTTTAATTCACTAACGCTCTAAAAATGAATATTTCAGCCGCAGTAAAGAATCAACATTGGCGGATTTTGGTTCTTGACATCCTTTACGATCGGTTACGATGCCTAGAGTACGGAGACCTGTACGATTTCGTGAGTTTGATAGGGGCCGTATAGTGGGACTTCGGGAAGCTGGACTTTCTTTTCGGGCAATTGCAGTTAGAGTGCAAAGAAGTGTAGACACTGTGGTTAGGTGTTGTCAGGCATGGCTTCGAGAAGGCCGTACGCAAAGAGCAAGGGGCACTGGACGCCGCCGTAGAACAACAGACCGTGAAGATCGCCGCCTAAGATTATTGGCCTTAAGGGACCGCTTCTCCACTACCAGGTCCTTTGCAAATGAATGGTTTGCATAACACGGAAGACCTATTGGCTGCGAAGTGTTTACCGACGAATGAGAAGTTTTTGGCTTGTTTTCATACCGACCACACTGGGTCCTCCCTTTAACTCGAGAACACCGACGTAATCGCCTTGAGTGGTGCAGACAACGGTCACTCTGGGATCAGGAATGGAACAGTATTGTCTTTAGTGACGAATCTCGATTTTGTTTAGGCATGCACGATGGTCGTGCCAGGGTTAGAAGGCGACGCGGTGAAAGGAGGAATCCACAGTTTTTTGTTGAAAGACATGTTCATCACACTGTTGGAGTTATGGTTTGGGGTGCTATAGCTTATGGTTCCAGGTCACCTTTAATTTCCATCAGAGGTAACATGAACGCGCAGCGTTATATCCACGAAGTTCTAGAACCCCATCTTTTACCCTATCTTGACACCCTGGCAGATCCAACTTTCCAACAAGATAATGCCCGACCACATGTTGCAAGAGTCACAATAGACTTCTTTCAACATAATGATGTCACATTGTTACCATAGCCACCAAGATCTCCCGACTTATCCCCAATTGAGCACGTGTGGGATATGATGGGTAGGAGATTGCTCAATTTGCAACGTCCTCCTCAGACTCTAGAAGCACTTCGAGAGGAGTTGGTGGTTGCCTGGAATGAGATACCACAGGAGGACATTGACCACCTGATCAGAAGCATGCCTAGGCGCGTTGGAGAATGCGTAGCACATCAGGGTGCATCAACACATTATTAAAGGTCAAAGGGCTTTAAAGCAGTGCAATCATTTTGAAATTTTTATCATTTACTTATTATGCTTCATTAAGTACTTATACAAAATTTTATTAAAATAAAACCATTTAAACTGGGTGTTCGGATTTATATGTCACTTAGTATATGTAACCGTAAGTAGATTGATTCTCTTTTAAAACTGCCTTTTATTTTTTATTCAGATGAATGGTTTTTGAAATAAACATTTTTTCACAACTAATCTAAGAAATCACAATTCGTTTTTACGAATAGGAGAAAGGCTATAGGTGAAACTACTACTTAGCTAAACCACTGTATATGTGTATTTTTCTAGGTTCTTTTCAATTCCGTTTTCAGAATCGTGATTTCTTGTCCAGAGAATCGCCAAAAATCGTATTTTCACCGATTTCCCCCAGGTTTTGTGTTAGTCAAGTTATGATGGCCTACTTTGAACATGTTTAAAATTGGAAAAATTCGGTTTTTCGTATTTTCGCAATATTTCGGTAAACAAATTACAGTTTTGACTATGGAACCTGGAAGAATGCATAAAAATACATATACGGGTTGAGTTTTTGAGTTAGCCAACTTAATGTATCCTACTTTTAAAATTTAAAAAATTGAGGAAAATTGGTGAAAATGCGGTATTTCCGATTTTTTGGGGATTCACCGTATAAGAAATCATGGTTCTGAATTGAACAGAAAAAAAAACGCAGGAAAATAGATATATACGGAAGGTTACTGTTAGTCAAATATTCCTTCCCTGACAAAAAATTGGAAAAAATACGCGAAAATCCGGTTTTCTATTTTCGCTAGGTTCCGGGAAACAGAACCTGAAAGAATGCAAAAAATACATATGTGTGTTGAGATTTTGAGTTGGCCGCTTATTTTATTCCATTTTTGAAATGAGGAAAATCGGTCAAAATGCGGTTTTTCCGATTTTTGGTGATTTTCTGGCCAAATGATTTTTTAAATAGATCTGAAAAGAACGCAAGAAAGCATAAGATGGACTTTTAAGTTTTAGAAATTTTCATTAACTAAAAAAAATTGTTATTGTAAACCTATCCACAAATCTCTAAAAAATCACACTTATGTAAAAAATATTTTCGAAAAAAGCACGTTTTTGAGGTTCGGGGCCCTAGGGACGGTTCTATCATTCTGAAAAATTTGCTATGGTGATTTATGTATCTTAATTTCGATTGTACCAGACTTGAATACCTCGCAACCCAGATGGGTGGGGATTATGGACTAGCTGTATGGGCCGGTTTACTTGACTTGATCCATTTAATTTTCTTGCAATACATGCTTGTAGCTAACTTTTATCCTTTCTATATTGATGATAGCGTTGCGTGGGAACCTAATTGACGCCTTTTTTTCAGGGGCGACCCTTTGTATATGTATAGCATTGTGCAATATAGCTGTTATCTGTGAACTGCTAAGGATCAGAAGCCAGCAGAAAGTCTTGGTTAGAAGAATAAGTAGGTCCATAATTGTAAATAGAGATAGAGCTGGAGGTCCCACGAGGTACCACACCCCTGAGGAAATGGCCTTTGCCAAGCTGATGGCCTTCATATGTCTCATATTCATTGTGTGCTGGGCCCCACAAGTTGTAAGTATGATTTTTACGCATAACTAATTTCTGCTATGCACGTTATGTATATTCCCGGATGCACATATACATTGCTTTTCAAAAAGGTCTCCCGTACTTATTTTTTGAACGGGTTAAGTTAGCAAGATGAAATTCGGGGCGATGAAATTGCTGCATGAATAGTAGTTTTTAACGTGAAAGTGTCAGTTGAAAATTCCGAAACGGCGGTTGGTCGCTATCTTGGTACATTTGTTCCCCCCCCCGCTCATTTTGAAGCTCCTTATAACCATAGAGTTCTACTAACAACTAATCATCAAAACCATATAATAGATCATATCAGTCCCATTCCTTTGGAACCTTCTATCTGATTGGGCAATAAAAGATGAGACATTTTGTTTAGACAAATTAACATGGTTGCTAAAAGTTAAAATGCCTTAACTGCCGTTCAGGTGACTTCCGACATACGTATTTTGGGTACCTAAAACCGAATTCATTTTAAATTTATCTGATCCCGTTTATCATATACATTCTATTGTTTAGTAACAAATTGTAAAACTAAGCGACATTTGCTACAGTAGGATGCTAAAAATCAGTTTTCTTTATCGGTGACTATATGCGAATGATGTTTTGTAGATCAAGGTAATTTGGATATATATATGATTGTGAAAAAACCTTAAATGGTCATGGTGCCGATTTAGGGGTGAAATATTGGTAAAAACTATTTACACTGGGCCACCCCTGAATCCTAACACTAAATTGACATCGAATTCGGAATCGCCCAATTTACATAGAAAATAAGCTACCATCTAAATTTATAGATCATAGATGCTCAACACTTTTTGCAGATTTCTTATTAGTCGTTTGATAAGTAGAATTCTTGCGAGTACCTTGAAAATAGGGAATTTCCGGACTGAAGAGGCCCAGGATTCGGTTTCAGCGACCCGAAAAATATATACTAAGTGACATATAAATCCGAACACCCAGCTTAAATGATTTTATTTTAATAAAATTTTGTATAAGTACTTAATGAAGCATAATAAGTAAATGATAAAAATTTCAAAATGATTGCACTGCTTTAAAGCCCTTCGACCTTTAATAATGTGTGGATGCACCCTGATGTGCTACGCATTCTCCAACGCGCCTAGGCATGCTTCTGATAAGATGGTCAATGTCCTCCTGTGGTATCTCATTCCAGGCAACCACCAACCCCTCTCAAAGTGCTTCTAGAGTCTGAGGAGGACGTTGCAAATTGAGCAATCTCCTACCCATCATATCCCACACGTGCTCAATTGGGGATAAGTCGGGAGATCTTGGTGGCCATGGTAACAATGTGACATCATTATGTTGAAAGAAGTCTATTGTGACTCTTGCAATATGTGGTCGGGCATTATCTTGTTGGAAAGTTGGATCTGCCAGGGTGTCAAGATAGGGTAAAGGATGGGGTTCTAGAACTTCGTGGATATAACGCTGCGCGTTTATGTTACCTCTGATGAAGATTAAAGGTGACCTGGAACCATAAGCTATAGCACCCCAAACCATAACTCCAACAGTGTGATGAACATGTCTTTCAACAAAAAACTGTGGATTCCTCCTTTCACCACGTCGCCTTCTAGCCCTGGCACGACCATCGTGCATGTCTAAACAAAATCGAGACTCGTCACTATAGACAATACTGTTCCATTCCTGATCCCAGAGTGACCGTTGTCTGCACCACTCAAGGCGATTACGTCGGTGTTCTCGAGTTAAAGGGAAGACCCAGTGTGGCCAGTATGAAAACAAGCCAAAACTTCTCATTCTTCGGTAAACACTTCGCATGCCAATAGGTCTTCCGTGTTCTGCAAACCATTCATTTGCAATGGACCTGGTAGTGGAGAAACGGTCCCTTAAGGCCAATAATCTTAGGCGGCGATCTTCACGGTCTGTTGTTCTGCGGCGGCGTCCAGTGCCCCTTGCTCTTTACGTACGGCCTTCTCGAAGCCATGCCTGACAACACCTAACCACAGTGTCTACACTTCTTTGCACTCTAACTGCAATTGCCCGAAAAGAAAGTCCAGCTTCCCGAAGTCCCACTATACGGCCCCTATCAAACTCACTAAGTTGACGAAATCGTACAGGTCTCCGTACTCTAGGCATCCTAACCGATCGTAAAGGATGTCAAGAACCAAAATCCGCCAACGTTGATTCTTTACTGCGGCTGAAATATTCATTTTTAGAGCGTTAGTGAATTAAAAAAAAGCAGTATAAAAACCGGAATGTCCAACTGATAAGGCTGAAAATTTTTTCACTTGTTATTTACAGTAAGATAAATACATTCACCAACTTTCATTAAAATAAAACCATTTAAACTGGGTGTTCGGATTTATATGTCACTTAGTATATCAACCAGAAGCTCCTAGATGGCCGGCTTCATGGAATAAACGGAATCGTGATCGTGTGAACTATCCCCGACCCTCGCTGGTGCGCTTTTCACTCCACACTCAAGACAAGAGTCACTAACGAGAGATCATAAGAGTGCCACGCTATTGTCTTTTTGCCCATTGAGAACGTAGCTTCACAACATGACTGACACGGCTAGAATCAAGTCCACTTGCAACATTCGCAATTATTTGTATTATTTTACCATACGCCTAGACATAACGAAAAATCGCTTACTATAAGGCGATTGATTTCTACTACATTCCAAAATAAATTAACTTTTGTTTCAGATATCAGTACCTGTATCGCAGTATTTTATACCTCCATCAAAGTCGATTAAAATATTCGAGACAGTAGCTGATGCATTGCTCACAGTCTACTTTGCGCTAGATCCATTCGTATATGTGCTACAAAACTACTTCGAGGGAAGAATCAGCTTCAGTTGCTGTTTTTTTAAAAAGTCCACGAGCAGCCTCTCCAGCAATACGAATGATACTGAAATGGTCTGTCTGTAAATCGGATAGTTACTTTGTACTATAATATACAACACATTATACAGTAGCTTTAATTTTAACATACCTTGTATTATACTAAAAGCCAAACCTTTGCCTTAATTTTTCCTTCACCAGCTGTGTTAACCCTTAAAATCCAAGGGATTTTTTAGGCAGCAGCGGTGGCCGCAGTGGTAGTCTCGTCGGTCTCTTGATCAGCTATGGATGTTGTGATTGTCCGTAGGTCGTAGACGGTCTATGACTGTCGAACGCGGAGGTACCACCCGGCGGATCTCGTAGGCCGGGGCAGAATGTGTGCATGTTGCATTCAAAATCCATAATTCATAAATCAACAATACCTTTTTCTAATAATTTCCATTCTACTCTACGGCCTTTTGTCAGGGTACAAGATTTTGATAGCCGGTGGACAATAACGACAGAACGACACCAAACCGTACAAAAAATGAGTCAGATACTATACTATACAAGATGCCTATACAAATTCCATTTGTCCTGAATTGCAGTGATTAGTACAGAGTCAACCTACTTGACTCCATATTTTCAAATGAGGTGTCTGTATCTACCCCATGTGATCGATGCCAATCCCCTTAATGAGAAAAGCCAGGTACTAACTGCTCATTCATAAATATTTCGTCCGTCAGATGATTTATTCAGAAGGACAGATGAAAATAAATGGTTTTCGTAGGTTGGAGATCGATTCCATTGCGAGAAATTTATTTTTGAATCAGAGGTTTTTTAGTGTATAGCGAACGACATTGCTAGTCTTGAAACTTTTGGTAAAGGTAATTAACCAATTCTTTGGTTTATCATTTATCATGCGAAAAAGATATAGTCGTCAAAATAAGTGCCAAACCCTATATAGGTACAACAAAGTATGAGAACTGCTGGATGACTTATGATATTACATGAAAAACGATACAGTGGACCAACTGTTTCGCGACAATGACTTATGTGACTTCGTGAAACAATAAAAAACAGTGCTTCGATGGCTCAAGACGCTTAGATACTCCATGCTTTTATACAATTTATCTATGTATATACATATACTAAGTGACATATAAATCCGAACACCCAGTTTAAATGGTTTTATTTTAATAAAATTTTGTATAAGTACTTAATGAAGCATAATAAGTAAATGATAAAAATTTCAAAATGATTGCACTGCTTTAAAGCCCTTTGACCTTTAATAATGTGTGGATGCACCCTGATGTGCTACGCATTCTCCAACGCGCCTAGGCATGCTTCTGATCAGGTGGTCAATGTCCTCCTGTGGTATCTCATTCCAGGCAACCACCAACTCCTCTCGAAGTGCTTCTAGAGTCTGAGGAGGACGTTGCAAATTGAGCAATCTCCTACCCATCATATCCCACACGTGCTCAATTGGGGATAAGTCGGGAGATCTTGGTGGCCATGGTAACAATGTGTCATCATTATGTTGAAAGAAGTCTATTGTGACTCTTGCAACATGTGGTCGGGCATTATCTTGTTGGAAAGTTGGATCTGCCAGGGTGTCAAGATAGGGTAAAGGATGGGATTTTTATTACATTTTAGTTTTGTACTCGTAGTTAGCAGAGATAGATAAATTACGCCAATCATGACTTTAGTTATTAGTAGTTAAATATTCAATCATGCAAAATTACACGAGTACTCCTCAATAGTTTCTTTTTGAAAGTTTTACCAATCGGTAATATAATTACTGTGCAATCTCCGTAATTCGAGCTAATTGTTGCAAGATGTTCGAATTATGGAATGTTTTCGGAAAAATCAAAAAATATTTTTAATATACAGCTGCTGGATTTTCTGTCTTATTTAAATAATTTAATTTTGCCCACAGATGACTGATGCCATGTCCGAATCTAAAAAGAAATGTTGACAGTACAGTGTTGATTATTTGAAATTTGGCTTCATTCCATCATTGCCGGACAAACAATCGCCTATGTGCCTTTTATGCAACAAAGTTTTGGGCAATGACGCTATGAAACCATCTAAACTGCAAGATCATCTGAGAAGATGCCACCCTGATAAAACAGAGAAAGATTTGAAATACTTTCAAACACTCAAAGATAAATTTCAGAAGAGACCTACACTGGACAGAATGTTCGCTTCGACCTCACAAAGAAATGATGATGGTTTGCGGGCGTCTTACAATATCTCATTACTTATAGCAAAATCCGGAAAACCGCATACTATCGGCGAGAAGTTAATTTTGCCAGCCGTTGAAGAGGTTTTGAAAACTGTTTTACACAAACCTGCATCTGATATCATTAAAAGAATTCTCTTAAGCAACAATACTGTTGAAAGTCGTATTGATGAAATGAGTTGGATATTGAAAGCTTCTTATGTAATTATTTGCAAACGACCCATTTCTCTATACAACTGGACGAGTCAACTTTACCTGATAATGCAGCATTATTATTGGCATATGTTCGTTTCATTATGAATCAAGAAATCTACGAAGAACTGCTCTTCGCAAGAACTTTGATAACCGACACTAAAGGTGAATCAATATTTCATGTTTTGAAGGATTACTTCATTGAAAAAGCAATTCCTTTATCAAATATAATATCAGTAGCTACAGATGGAGCACCTGCCATGGTTGGACGTTATCGTGGATTTATAAGCTATTTAAAACAAAATGTGTCAGGGGTGTTAGCAATACATTGCGTCATCCATCGACAACATTTAGTTGCTAAAAATTTGAGTGTTAGATTGCATGAATCACTTCATTTAGTCATTGATGCAGTAAACCGAATCCGAAGCAACGCGTTGAATACGCGGTTATTTGCGCAGTTGTGTGAAGAAAATGACGAACACTTTCATCAGTTACTCCTTCACACTGCAGTACGCTGGCTGTCGAAAGGCTTATGTTTGACAAGATTTTTTGCACTTTTTGAGACTATTTTAGAATTTCTGGATACTAAAGATAAAATTTTAAAAGAAAATTTAATGAAGAGGAAAACAGACATCGCCTATATAACAGATTTGTTTACAAAATTTAATATGGTTAATTTGCAATTACAAGGCGACAGTTTAAATTTGATTAAAACAAAGTCCATCTTATCAGCGTTTCTTGCCAGAGTTAAACTAATGAAGCAAAATATTGGACGGGGCGAATTTTCTCAGTTCCCGAATTTGTCACAGACAAGCTGCCAGGAAGACGACGTTTCAACTTACGTTCAACATTTAAATGCCCTCTATTCAGATTTTGAATCTAGGTTTCAGGATATTTTGACTATGGTAATACCACCGTGGATAATTAATCCATATGGTGACAGAAACGATTGTCATAATACAAGAGGAACTGACTGAACTAAGTACAAACGAAGAACTTAAGGTTCAGTTTAAAAACGGATATCAGCAATTCTGGCTGCAAAACAACATACCCGTTACTTATCCCGTATTATGGAATATAGCGAGGAAATTTTTAATTTCCTTTCCATCGTCATACCTAGTAGAAGGGGGGTTCAGCGCTGTTACCAATCTCCTAACGAAAAAAAGAAACAGACTGGACATCATTAGCCGAGGAGATTTAAGATTAACCCTTACAAAATTGACGCCAAATGTTGATAATTTATTATTAAAGCATCAGGTTCATCCTTCTCACTAAACATATTGACTTATTGCTTATGTTATTTTATTTATAGTTTATTTAATGTTTATTGGTGTCTGACCAATAAATGCCGCATTGGGAATAAGTGCCCGCATTGACTTTTTTAAAGAACCCCCCTTTATAGAAAATATTTTTTTTTAAATTATTCTGAAAATTCAAGGATAGGTACACACTAAAATTCGTTAATTTTTTGCCTATTTTTAGATAACTTAAACGTATAAGAAGCGGAATTTAATCAAACTAACAGTGAAATTATTGTAGAACATACGTTTATGTTATAATTAATAAACGAACTCGCTTATTGTACATTTTAAGTAAAAAACTTCTTTTTTATTAAGCTGCCCGGAAGACGACGTTCCAACTTACGTTCAACATTTAAATGCCCTCTATTCAGATTTTGAATCTAGGTTTGAGGATATTTTGACTATGGTAATACCACCGTGGATAATTAATCCATATGGTGACATAGAAGAAACGAATGTCATAATACAAGAGGAACTGACTGAACTAAGTACAAACGAAGAACTTAAGGTTCAGTTTAAAAACGGATATCAGCAATTCTGGCTGCAAAACAACATACCCGTTACTTATCCCGTATTATGGAATATAGCGAGGAAATTTTTAATTTCCTTTCCATCGTCATACCTAGTGGAAAGGGGGTTCAGCGCTGTTACCAATCTCCTAACGAAAAAAAGAAACAGACTGGACATCATTAGCCGAGGAGATTTAAGATTAACCCTTACAAAATTGACGCCAAATGTTGATAATTTATTATTAAAGCTTCAGGTTCATCCTTCTCACTAAAAATATTGACTTATTGCTTATGTTATTTTATTTATAGTTTATTTAGTGTTTATTGGTGTCTGACCAATAAATGCCGCATTGGGAATAAGTGCTCGCATTGATTTTTTTAAAGAACCCCCCTTTATAGAAAATATTTTTTTTTAATTATTCTGAAAATTCAAGGATAGGTACACACTAAAATTCGTTAATTTTTTGCGTATTTTTAGATAACTTAAACGTATAAGAAGCGGAATTTAATCAAACTAACAGTGAAATTATTGTAGCACATACGTTTATGTTATAATTAATAAACGAACTCGCTTATTGTACTATTTTAAGTAAAACACTTTTTTTTATTATTTTTCACTTTTTTTTTTATTTTATCCCTCTCATTTTTTTTTCAATGCGGGCACTTATTCCCAATGCGGGCACTTATTGGTCAGACACCTGTTTATTTAATGTTACGTATATTTTACATAACAGATACAAAATTTTATTTTGAGTAGTTTTAATTTAAATTCAATTAATAAATGTATAAATTAACATGTGTTTTTACTTTAAGTTTTTAACACTAAACTTCACTAGTTAGAAATTTTCAGGAACTCAATATCAGGTAAGTAGGGGGTCTACCCAACACGGAAAAACATGGCAAGGGGTC